TGTGGAGGGTGGGAAGAGATTAACCAAAGAAATTATATGCATATGTGTATAACCCATGGACACAGTCAATAATGGGGTGAAGCCCTGGGGAGGGGGGAGGAGCGAAGTGGAGGGAGTCAATTGGGGGGAAAAAATGGGACACCTGTAATACTTTCAACAATAAAGGTAAATTAAAAATAAATAAATAGATAAAATGAATTTTGAATAAAAAAGAAAAGATGGAGGCATTTTCAGAGCTGGTCTCATAATTACTTACGTTGGCGTCAACTACGCTTGGTATCAGCTTGATCAGGGCTGTCATTTCCTCCCAGTAAATAAGGAGCAGAGGACAGCAGGCAGCCATGCAATCACTAAGGCCCCACTTTGGTCTTGGAAGCAGAGTTCTTAATTAACTTCACTGCGTGTCAGTTATGTCATCTGCAGAATGGGATAGTAATCATTCACCCCCCTCCCTAGTGCCAGCCAACCTGAACTAATGCCTTCTTATGACTCTTGGCCTTTGCACATACTGTCCTTCTGCCTGGCTGATTCCTCAGCATCCTTCAAGATTCAACTTAGGATCTCCTCTGCTAAGAAGGCAAGTCTTCCTTGCTGCTCCCCACCGCCCTCTGCAGTTGAGGTAAGCGCCGCTCCTAGGGGTTCCCCCAGTGCTTGAGTTTCCACCTGGCCGGTCAGCTATACATCTGTTTTCTTATTGGTCCTCTCACTCAACACCATAAAGGCAAAGAAGGTGTCTACTTTACTTCTGTGCCTTATTATGACTTGTAAAAATTTGAAAATTTTTTGTTAATATGAGAGAATAGAGTGACATCTCCTTATGCCTTCAAGTAAGATAGCAGATGTAAAGCATAAGACCACATGCCTGAGACATAGGTGCTCAGTATTCATCTTTCTTTTCACTTCCTCAGCCCCAGCCAATGCCCTCCTCTCAGGGGGCTTTGCCTGACACTGTCCCATAGTGGAGAAGTAACTTCAGTTGGATCTGCTGAGGGTGACCCTTTCCTGTAGGAAATGGTGGGATTCAGACAGGAAATGTACATTTTTGGAATAGTTTCAACTTTAATTAGTTTTAAGAGGATATAGGCTCATCAATGAGGACATTTTATAGAGTGGTAAATGATGACCTCACTTCCTTGGAACATTTATAGTAAGTTAGCTTGTACATTAATTAGGTGATTAATTGTGTTTTGGGGTGGTCTGAAACCCAGTATTAACACATTATTGAAAATTGATCATTGCAAATTATGGCAATAATAGTAGATGTTGAAATTTACAGTGAATATTATGGAGCTTATTAAATGCAAAGCAAAGAAAAATTTTAAAGTACAAATTCAGTTCTACAGAAAGTTAAACTTGACACACTGGAATTATTTAAGTATCAGTAACAGGAGCAGATTTGATCAAGCTGTAAAGACTATTTTGGCCACTAGAGGGAGCTCATACTTTAAAAAATGTTTGGAGCAACTGCATAATCCCAACAATGGCCACAGTGGGTTTCAAAATTACTAATGATGTCGCCTCCCCCCCGCAAAAAAAATTGGAGGCATTTTACACTATTAACATTCCAGAGGGATGCATAAATGACAAAAATTGTAAATCAATATGAATATATTAAAATTGGCTGGAGATATCCAAAAGAGTAATCTCTCGTGACACATATTTATAGCTATGGATTTAATGTACTTCCCCCGCACACCCAGAATATAAAGTATATTTTAAAAGTACTTTATTTTAAAAATCACATTCCTTCAAAAGTAAAAGTTGTGGAATTATTTATTTTGTTTTCATTTATTCAAGGAATGGGAGAATTGATGTCATAATTGTATCATACATGTATGTGAAAAAGTGATGTTTCAGGGTTATATCAACCTCCGCAACGTCCCTAAAGCCTACTCTCTTTACACCATTTTCACTGCCACAGGTCTGAGTTAAGGGTTTGTTGTTCTCCCCTGGATTGTCATGGTAAGTTTCCTTTGGTCCCCCCACATGACCACCCTGTCTGGTGTCTCTTAAATGCAATTGACTTTATACATCGTTCTCAGACTAATTTTCATAGAACATATTTTTGATCACACCGCTGTTCTGCTCAGAAACCTGTAGTAGCTCCCCTCCCTGCTTGTACAAAACAAAGCCACAAGAAGCCATTTGGTATTCAGGATCCAATCCAATACTACCGACTTCAGGCCTACCAGCTCTGGTTGGAACAATTCTCTCTTTTCTGAGTTCTCGTGGCACTTCTTCTGTACTGACCTTTATTTTATAGTTGCTTGTGAGAATGTCTTATATCACCTTCAGGAAGAACTTCCTTAAAGGAATGAGTCCTTGTTGGAAAACAGAGAGGAAGCTTTGCATCAGCGAATATATAATGTTGAAGACCTGCTTAAGAGGACCTTATCTGTCTGGGACGCATTCTGAGGGGGGATTCATAGAACCTGGTGTTCTGTTATCTGTTGCTGCAGAACAGGCCATCTTAAACATAGTGGCTTAAAGTAACAATGTCTTATTTTCTCTCAAGATTCTGAGGGTGTACTAGGCTCAGCTGGGTGGTTCTTGCTTAGTCTCAAATGCAGTTGCAGTCAGGTGGTGGCTGGGCTAGAGCCGTCTGAATGCTCCACCACACTGGTCATCCAAGCTTCCTCACACACACCCCGCCTCGCTAGGCTGGCTGAAGTCTCTGGGGCCTGGCCGAGCGGTTGGCTCGCTTTGTGAGGCTCCTCCATGTGACTAGCTTGGACTTCCTCAGAGCATGGTGGTCTCAGGTTAGACTTCATATACGTGGCTGACTTTCTGCAGAACGAGCATTCTCAAAACCCAGGTAGAAGCCCCGGGGCTTCTTGTGAGTTAACCTTGAAAGCCACAGAGAGCACTTCCTCCGCAGTGCCAGCCCAGATTCCGTGGGGCAGGGGCAGCATTGCAAAAGGTCGCAATATTGGAGATGTGTTTCCTCAGAGGGCCATCTTTAGGGCCCAGCTGCCTCGCCTGCTAGCATTTTCAGTGTGAAAAACACCTTTATTCAAGGCCTGGAAGGCAGACTCTGAAGACAGACCAATCAGAAGAATTGGTAAAGATCCAAGGATAAAAACTTTATTGCAACACGAAAAGGGTGATCAGTCACGTATTGCTTGATACAGCCATAAATCTTTTTAAACACTTCTCATCAAGCGGTGTGTATGTTCCCCCCGGAAACTGGGCACGCTTTTCTGACCGCTGGGCCCAACCGAGCCGAGCAGCAGCGATGCTGTGTGACGTCCAGGCGCGGCCGAAAGGGCGGCGGTATTCCTGCCTGCTTGCTGGACTGCTTGCCCGTGACACCACCGGTTTCCACACAAGCGGCCTGGCTGCCTTAGGCTGCGTGCTGCAGGGAGCCCAACAGTCCACTTGGGATACTGAGTATACGGTCACTCCGGCATCGCCCGCACGTGGATGCCACATGGAGTGGGCCACTGCCCCTGGGGAGAGGTCTGCATTCTCAGAGGCTCAACACGGCCACGGGAGCTGGTGGGGGCGCCGCCAGGCCGGCTTTTGAAGCCGAGGCTGGATTAAGCCTTGAGGTGGTCAAGTATAAAGTCATACGCAGGTGGGATAACGGAACAGCCACCCAGCGGCTGCAGCCTTTCTGCCTT